ATTAATGTCTGGAATCAATGGTTTCATATCTTTCAAGAAATGTAATACAAATTAGGAAATTCTCAATCAATCATTTGGACTTTTTGTTGGCACTTATTATGAACATCTATGAAATACATCTATGCGCTAAACATATCTAACATTACTGATTACCCATTAATGTTAAATGGGTTTATCTAGAAACTAATTACAATTTCCTTCTGAAAAAGTGGTATTAATGAACCACAATCTAGTTTTTTTAGTCATGCACATTTACACTATAATGGAAGACATGTACAAATGTATCAGTATTAGTTAGAATTCTATATAATATTGGAATAAACAGTAAACATTAAAATAAATATTAATTATCTATCCTTCAAACTCGTTTGATCTCTGGAGGCAACAGTCGTATGGATAACGACTTTGAAAAGTGACTCTATTTTTATATTTAAAGCCATGAAATCGTCGACAGACATCGCATTACCAATCGTTGTCCTAAGTTTGTGTAATAATTAGTTTAATTGTGTTTTGAAGATAGATAAAAAGTATAAATATAAAACATATCGCGATTAAAATACAATGCAGTTTATAGTTCACACACTCAAGGATTACCATTAAAATAGATTTTATTATTTGTTATCTATTTTGTTGTTTTCGGCATTTATTCGGATTTTTCGATTCAAGGATTTAAATATTAATTCTCGATATAAAAGAGTGATCAAAAAGTTTTTAAATTGTCACAAGTGTTCAAGTTTTCGCTATGAACACTTTGGTATGTATTTAAACAAGCGAAATTAACTTACAATTTATATAATACTATTTAAACTCATTTATTAGATCATACTGTCGGCCGTCATATCGGCGGTGGTGGCCGTCCCAACCTATGGTAACTACAGGGCACCACCCCATGTCGAGCCCAAACACATTAACTCATACGTCGAACCGCAACACTTGCCGGTCATCAGTAAGGAAGTGGTCGTCGCACACATACCCGTCCATCTCAAGGGACATGATGTGCCCGTGAGTGTCAAATCATACGCACCGGCCGTTTATGCCAAGACATATGCCCATCCAGTCATCAAGACTATTGCGGCTCCAGTGCTGACCAAGCCTTACATCGAGCCCATGCTTATCGGACATTCAGTGCCCATACAAACTAATTCATATGTCGTACCCATTGTCAAGCCATTTGTCTCGAAATTACATGTAGGACATTATGGTTACGATAGTGCTAAAGGTGCTTAACTGGAAACAACAGTTTGATTACTAATCTCAATCTACTTAAACTTAACAAAATATTTTGTGATCTTTTTTATGATAAATATTTTTATACTTTTTAATATTTGATATCCTTTTTATTTTTATACTTTTTATTATTATGCGTTTATAAACTGCAACATAAGAAAAGAGTTTTAATTTATAATTTGTAAATAAGTGCGAAAATAAATAAATAATTTTTTTGACAAGAACAAAATTTTGAAATTATTTGGACACAAAAATTAAAACAAAAAACTGTTGATAAAGGATAAAAATAAATAATTTATTAATAGAATTAAGACATACTTATAAACTGATTTATATTATATTAAGTATAATACTAAGGCATCAAGTATGAATTAAAAATCAAAACTTTAATGCTTTGTCATTAAAAATTTCAAAGTCAATGGAAAATAAATGAAAAACACAATTATTATTAATTGAGTTATTATAAGATTTAAAAATACTTTTGTATTAAACATAAAAAACACAAAGATTTGAACAATTTGTTAACCATAAAGATTAAGAGATAGTTTCATTATCTATCCATCAATCATAGCACCGGTATTCGTAGACATAAAACAGTTATTATTTAGGGTATGGGTTGCATACGGAGGTACAGGAGAACTCGGGCTTACAGTCGTACGCTGTTTCACATCTGGCGGCCGGTTGTCGCCGACTCATACCAGCCCAACACCACTCATCCGATCGGCCAAACGAGTAGCACCGGGACCAACAGCGTCGACGGAAGCACCCGAAGGTAGTCGGAAGACGTTCAGGTATACCACGGTTTCGTGGCGTAGTCTGACTCATAGTCAGTCCCACGAATGATACGATCAGTAAAATAACAATCAATTTGTAATTCATTTTTATTTTTGTATTTTTTTATCAATCAATTCAATGATAAACTTGTTTTTTGGACAATTGAATGATTTTTTGTGATTATTATCTCATCTTTTATACTAAATTTTAATCATCTACTCGTAGGCGACGGATGTTTATAACATATATACCGTATGTTTGTATTGTTTTTATAGGTAATTGTTATAATAACCTATGAATGAGAGAATGGGATGGGATGTCAACGTGAGTTCAGTTACCTATTTGATTGGATTTCTCAATCAAAGT